CTCTCTCTCTCTCTGGTGTGAGTGTAGCTTCCACACTTTGCTGAAAAGTGGATTTTGTAAATGCAGAAAAAAGGGAGAGGATAAATGAAAGACAGGAGTGTGAAGGGTTAAATCACAAAGAAAGAAAGGCTGATGTGTGTGGGCGACCGTGATGTGAGGAGGTAGAGAGAAAAAAGGAGGAGGAGGAGGAGGAGAGGACTAATCTGCTGGTCAGGAAACGTGAGGTTAATCTGCTCCGTCAGGATTTCAGGCCGGACTTCCTCCCTCTCTCTGAAAACGTCCCGGTCACTTTACCTCCGAGCCGCCGTCGCAAAAGAAACTTTCACAGTCACTTCATCCTGTGAAGCTCATTTATTTAGTTTGTTTCAGGAGGAGGAGGAGGAGACAAACCTTCATCCATCCTCCTTGTTCCCCCTCCTCATTGCTCAAAGTCCAAGTTTCAACTTCCCACACATGTAACCTGTACTGCAGCCAGCCACCAGGGGGCGATCAACATGGTTTGGCTTCACTTTTTGGGAGCTGTCATGTCGTCCATCTTCATTTACACTCATGATGTCACTTATTTTCTCTGACGCTAGTGGTTTTCTTCCCATCATTACGGACCAGAGCATTCTGGGTAAATAACTGTCCGTCTGCTGACAGGTGACGGGACTCTCAGAGTCTGGGACCTGAAGGCTGCCGCCTGTCGATTGGCCATCCCAGCACACAAGGCTGAGATCCTCAGCTGTGATTGGTGCAAATATGACCAGGTACCTGTGCTCACCTTTCTCACCTGCTGCGTCTCAGGAAGTTCACCATCAATCGTTTCACGGTCGGAACGTGTGAAATATTCAGTTCAACTTGTTTTTATGTTTTATTTCCTCTTTATTAAAAAGAGACCAGGACTATTATTTTTTATTCTTTCACTTTAAACCCTGCGCTCGACTTAAACAGCCTCTGCTTGTTCAGATTTCTCTGCTCGTGCATTTACACTCAGATGTTTTTCAGATGTTTGGACGTTTTACTCCAGATGTTACTTTCATGCATGTGTTGTATTTGTTCTTTAAATAAGTTGTCAGACAGATTTAAGTTGAATCGAGTGTTTGTTGTTGTTTGCAGAACATTGTGGCCACGGGCTCCGTCGACTGCAGCGTGTGTGTGTGGGACCTGAGGAACGTACGTCAGCCTGTCAGTCAACTACGAGGACACACCTACGCCATCCGCAGAGTCAAGGTACACACACACACACACACACACACACACACACACACACACACACACACACACACACACAGTGTCTGAGTATTAGCAGAACTACAATAATTAGACTAAAGTGTGTATTAATAAACAGATGATTGTTCAACAAGTGTTTCAACAATGAGTCGATCTCCATCGTACTGAAACACAGAAATAAAGAATCCGTCTTTTACTGTTTGGTTTT